ACACACACACACACACACACATACATACATACATACGCATACACACAATGACAGAGGGCGCTGACTCGCCCATCCGCACTGGGGTCTACCCGTACTGGACGCCAGAGCATTCGCCGGTGGGCTCGCAGCCCAGCTTCCCGGCCTCGCCGCGCTCCATCGACAGGGCCTCGGTCCACTCGGCCGGCGCGCCGCATGACGGTGGCACCCCCTGCGGCATGCAGGTTGACAAGTGGAAAACCCTTCGCGGTCGTACGTGCCCATGTTCTCGCGCCTGGCTGCCATCCTCGGCGCCCCTGCCGGCGGCCAAAGGCGGCGGAGCAAGCGAGGCAGCGGGGCGCCAGGGCCAGAGGAGGCCCAGTCGGTGTTACGGCGCGCATGCATGCGGGTCGCCGCCGCCGCCGCCGCCGCCGCCGCCACACGCAATCTGCCATCGCTGTTCTGACCTTCGCCGTCGCCATCGCCACGCGCGCCCCTCCCCCTCGTCTCCCTCCCCTGCGGGCGGCCGGCCGGTCGGCGCCACGACCATGGGCCAGTCCTTTCGCCGCCCACGCTGGCCGGCATTGCGGCCATCATCATCGGCCTGATCACCCCGCTGCGGCGCATGTTCTTCGGTGCCAACCCGCCACTCGGGCCGTGGATCACCGAGGCCGTGGACTCGGTGGCCGACTGCGCCATTCCCATCAGCCTGCTGGCGTTGGGGACCATGATCGGCCGTGGGAACAAGCCCGCGCGCGCCGGGCCGCCCCGGGCCCCGCCCCTTCTGCCGGCCAACGGCGGCCACCGGAATGTCCTCACCTGGGGCAACATTTCCCTGGTGGTCTTCATGAACCAGTTCATCATGCCCATCGTGGCGTCGCTCTGGCTGGCCATGCTCCTGACCATGCACCGGTGGGTGAACCACCACCATCCCCACCAGGACGCCCTGTCGGCCGGGGATGGGCCCTTCGCCGGCATTGCGCCCCAGTGGTGGCAGGAGGATCCCACCGGCGGGGGCGGCTGCGACATCGCACACGATCCCCTGGCCGGGGAGGACCCCCTGCGTGGGATCATCCCGCTGGAGGACCCGGCCCTCTGCTTGGTCCTGCTGCTGCAGGCCGCGGTTCCCATGGCCACCAGCATCATCAGCGTCATTCAGTTCGGCGCGCCGACCGTCACCCGGGCGCCGGGGAGCACTACCGCCGGTGCGGCCGGTGCCCCCGCCGCCACGGGCGGCCCTGCGGTCGCCCCCGCCGCCGCCCCCACCGCCGCCGCCGCCGCCGCCGCCGCTCCCACGACCACCGCCCCGAACGCGCCTGCGGCACTCCACCGCCGAGCGGCTGCCCTGGTGGCCGCCGAGGCCGCTGCCGGGGTCGACGACAGCCCCTCCGTGGCGGCCGAGGAGGAAGCCGCTGCCGCCGCCCTGGACAAGGAGGAGGTCACCTCGGTGCTTACCTCGGCCGAGGAGATCGGCTACGTGCGCATGGTCCTCGCGTCGTACGGATCGACGGTTGTCACGCTGCCCCTGGCCACCGTGTGCTTTGCACTCTACCTGGCCAAGGTGATGTGAGGGGGGCATGCCCCCCCCCCCCCCTGGCAAGAAGTCGGAGTCCCAGGAACGACGCTCACACGCGCGCGCGCGCGCGCGCGCTGCGGTCGGCGTGGTGAGGGCCAGGCGCGAGAGAGAGGCCCACGCAGTGTGCCAGGGCGGCCGCGCCTCCGATCGTCCCTGGCCTGCCATCCTGCGGGGCATGGCATTTGCACCGACGAGAAAAGGTCCCAGGCAGATGCCGTGCGCGCGCGCGCCCATGTGCACAGCCGTATGTGGTCCTGCCCCTGTTGCTCGCGCCCTTCCTCCCTCCCATCAGCCAACCGGCAGAGAGGCGAGGGACGGAAAGGTGTGGAGAGAAAGACATAATACACACCTACATTTTTTTGGCTGCGCAACTGCCGTGTCCGGCTCAGGGGGGAGAGAGACATCCACACTCGAGGACGACCCGAAGGACAGAGCAAAACACGATTCGAGAGAGAGGGAGGGGGAGAGAGAGAGAGAGAGAGAGAAAAGACACATAACTACCTGATGATATATTTGGGGAGGGGGAGAGCAGGAGAGACAGAGAGAGGTGGCGGGAGGGAAGGGAGGGGGGAAGACACGCGCATGCGCGAGAGCAGCGCCTCTTGGTCCTCCTCCGCCTCGGCCCCACACCCGTGCATGCCCCCCTGCCTTCCCCTGTCTCTCGGCCTCTTGCTGCCTCACCCATGCACGCACGTGCGTGCTGCCGCAAACTGAGAGAAGCGCATGTGGGGGGAGGGGGGGGAAGGAGAGCGCCTCCCACAGGTACACACATGTACACGGGGGCGCGCGCATGTCGCCTTGCACGAAGGACAGCGGGGAGGGCCGTGCATGCGCGCACACAAGCGAGCGAGAGAGAGAGAGAGAGAGAGGCAGAATGTGCGCAAGAAGAGGCGGGAGAGAGGCACACCGGGCAGAAGGGAGAGATGTCACATCCCTCCCTCGTGTCCGGCGCTCTCCCGCCCCGCCGGCCTTTGGAGGGGGGGGGGGGGGGGTCCACGCCAGTATTATTGTGGTGTTTGGTGGGCGCGGGGGGGAGGACAGAGGACGGAGGGGGAGAGGGAGGGAGCCCTTACAGGGGAACGCGGCGCTTGTAGCGGACCATGCACGGGGTCTCCGGCAGGACAATCATGGAGTTGAAGTTGGGCTGGTTCATCGGGCCAACAGGCTCCAGCTCGAAGGTCTGCAGGATGGCCGCCCAGATGGTCTTGATCTGCAGGTAGGCGAAGGGCTCGCCGATGCAGCGGTGGCGCCCATGGCCGAAGGGCACATACAGGCCCTTGTTCTTCTCGGTGGAGTCCTCAGCGCGCTCGGGCGAGAAACGATCCGGGTCGAAGGTGTTCGGGTTGGGGAAGGCCTTGCCATCGAGCGAGGAGACCGACGGCGAGACGGCCACATACGAGCCGGCCGGGATGACCATGTCATTGAAGTAGACATCCTCGGTGACCGTGCGCATGATCTGGAAGATGGGCGGGCACAGGCGCAGGACCTCCTTCAGCACGTACTCCAGACGGTCGCAGTTGCTGATCCCCTCGAAGTCAAGGGGCACGTAGCCGCCCTTGCCATCGCCGAAGATGCTCTCCTGCTCGGCCATGACCTTGGCCAGGTACTCCTTGTCGCGCAGCAGATACAGGCCGAACCAGGTGGCCGAAGTGGAGGAAGTGTGCTGGCCAGCCATCAGCAGGGCGATCATCAGCCCGGCCACCTCGACCTCGCTCAGGGACCGGCCATCCTTGTAGGTGGCGTTCATCAGGGAGTTCAGCATGTCATGGTGGACCTCGGAGTCCTCCTTGCCCTCGGCCTTGAGCTTCTCCAGGCGAGCGGCGCGCTTGCGCAGCACCGACACGAAGAGCTCGCGCAGCTGGAGGTTGGCCCGGTCGCGCACGATGTTCCGCGGCAGGGGCAGGTTCGGGAAGAGGAAGTTGATCGGGGTGAAGCCCAGATCCAGGTCGTGGTACAGGCGGGCCACCTCGTCGTTCAGCTGCGAGCGGACATCCTGGCCGAGGAGGGTGCGCGAAGCGGTGTTGATGACCAGCTCGCACATGGCGGAGTACAGGTCGGCCTCGCCCTCGTTGCCCCAACGGGCGAAGTACTGGTGGACCTCCTCCTGGATGTCGGACACGTAGCTGCGGAAGGCGGCGGTGGTGAGGCCACCCTTGACCATGCTGGAGATGGATGGGCGGGCGGGCGGG